CGCTCTTCCTCCCAGGCCCGGGACTGCAGTGCCTGCCCGTGTCCACGAGCTTGTTTTAGTTACCAGCTTGTGTACTGAGCCTGTGCACGGCAGCACAAAGCTCAGCAAGCAGCTGAGACCCATCGCATTTGGGGCCGGGCTTGCTCCCATCTCCCAGCCAGGCAGAATAAAGCATCTCAGACACGTCCACACCACACTTCACTCACAAGAGCTCTGTGGCTTCGTGTGCCGCACTGGTCAGTGCAAAATCCTACTTATTCCCCCATTCCCATGAGCACACGTCATTCAGCTCCTTCATACCAAGCATCAAACAGTTACATTGAAGGGAAAGAAAGGGCCAGCCCTTCCCACAGCTGTCGAACAGAATCAGCCCCGAGCACGCAGCTAAACTGTCTTATTTGCTTAAGATACACACAGGGATGCTGGTCTCCAAGGACTTTTCCTATCCCGTATTCATCTTTGCTTTCTCGCAGCTGTATTTAGCCTGCAACGCTGCACGCTGCAGACCTCTGCCCTCAAACAGAGGCAGGTAGGCTCATAAAGCAAGATGCTGCTTGGCCTAATTAACAGTCTCAGGTCTGCCTTCCAACAGTACAAGCTGCAGGAAGAAGGAAAGCGTTCACAGCAGGCATGAACTCAACACAAGGCTGGCAGTCAACAAATTTCATCATTTCTTCCCTTAGCAGGAGACTCTCTTGAGCATCCCACATTTTCTCAAAACGGCCCTCTCTCTGCAGCGATTCTCAACTGCTCCTCGGGAGCCAAGGCCTGAGGCACTGTGAGCACAGGCCAGGCTGAGCTCAAGCTGCCTGTAGCAGTTTGGCGCAGACTCGACCCCAGGGTCCAGGCTTCACTTCACACCTGGCTGTAGACAAGATCTCGCTTTGGCTCGGAGATGTAGCATGGATATCTACTGTTGCCATCTGCACTCCTCCCTCCTCTAACAGCCGCCACCTCCTGACTGCTGCTCCACCAAATGGGTTGCCAGCATTTCTGCTTTCAGGCCACTCATCTGCCCAGAAGTGTAGAGAGTACCTAACAGGCTCTCCAGAAGTGCTTCTGGAGACAAGGAGCATATAGAGACTCGGGTGCAAAATGAGCACGTTTAGTACAGACAGAAACAAAAAGGAGTGGCCGCTTGTTTCGCAAGCAGCTAGCAGGAAACACCGCCCAACATGCTGACCTGAGGGACCCTTCCAGATGCAGAGCACCATCATGCTTGGGGTGGTAGGACTCATTTCCGCCAAGCCAGTCCCATTCTGCTGGATTTAGGCAGCCTTGTGAGGTTTGAAAAACAACCTTGCAAGTCTGGGAAACTATCAGAGGAAATGGGTGTTTAACCTTGACTGCAATGTCCTGGGCAGGTCCTCACTCCCTCCCCTCAGTCTCTGGTGACTGGTGCCCCTGCAGTGGAAGGGCCAGCCAGTAAGGAGCACCATGAGCACAGGCCCCACGCTGGGATGTGGCTGCGCTGTCAGCACCTCCTGTAGACTGTGCTGCTCTGCCGGAGCATCCCAAACTCTGGGGACAGCCCCCTGTGCCCCAGGCAAGCCCCGCTGGGCAGCAGCCCCAAAACAGAGCAAGCAGCTGCATTTGGGGAGCATGAAGACCTTTATAGGGGTAGCTGAGCCAGTACCATGCTGTTCACTGGGAGCAGGCCTCACAAATGGGAGGAATTAAGAGTTTCCTCCATGGTCTGTAGCTGGTGCAGATCAGAGAGAGCTCAGACTCCTACATAGGGTCACAGGTAGAGCAGCTCCCCGCTGACGCTTGCCTCCTGGGACCTTGCCCAGCTGAGGTTGGGCAGCAAACTCTGATTTACCCTGCTGGTAGGGCCCTGTCCCAGCCTGGGAACTACAGCCCATTCCCTAGGCCACCCCCGGGATTGCACTAGAGCACAAGGGAAGGAAGGGCCCTTTTTGCTGCACAGTGCAAGAAACAGTGATGCTCCCAGAAATGGTTTTCCTGGGCTGGACTCCAAACGCAGTCTGGGAGGAGCTATGAGACAACCACTGTTAGAGCCACACTAGGAAGGAGAGCCTAAAGGCTCTCCTGAGCACCAACGCGCAAGCCCTTTCCCTCCTCCAGCACTGCTCCCCCTCCTCCAGGTGCGCTGCAGTCAAGGCAATTGGAGCACACACAGGCAATGTGACGTGTTGGGGAAATACGGCCTTTGCTGCCTGTGAAACCACGGCTGTCTATGAACATAAACACGCATATCACACAGGGTCTAATGCTAAGCAAGAAGCTGGGATCATCATGCCTTCTGTTACAAACCCATCTGCCCCGTCACCCCAACACAGTGCTACAAAAGTCTCCTATGACCCCATACTTACCAGCTTGGTTTTGTCCATGGCTGCCAGGACAGCAGAGTTGAGAGCTTCCAGTGCGGAAAGCACATGTCTATATTCTCCGAGATACGCTGAGAAATAATCTGAAGTGGGAGAGGAGAGCACAGTTAGCTTCTTGAGCAACTCCTTCCTCCTCACCCCTGCACAAGCTCCAGCTGAAGCACTCGCCTGCCCTTGTCCTTGGCCACCTCACTTCCTGCCTGTCTGGCCCCGGCTGTAGCCACGAGGGTGCCAGGCTCAGCGCTTGGCACTCTACGGCCCAGGCCGCAGCTTTCATAGCCCTCTCTTGGGAGTGATGCCTCCTGCCTTGCACTGAAAGAATCGAAACTGAGAGCCCTTTCCTATCCCCAGGGACAAAACATCCTGGAGAAAAGCCCAGATGCTCTGTGACACCCTGTCGGTACAATTGGGATTCACATGAAGGGACCGTCAGTGTCACTTAGCCAGGAACCCAGCCCTGACCACACCAGCAGTGCACAACCTCCCCCCCGCCAACCCCGCAGACCCTCCAGAGACAGCATGCTCAGAGAGCAGGAAGAGCAGCCTACTTACCACACAATTTCTCCGTGTCTACATTGCTGCAAGAAACAGAAAAACAAATTGTTAGAAGGTGGGAGCTCTTTAGGAGTAACAGTCATAGGGAGTAGGGTCTTGAGGGCTCATTTTGAGACCGAGGAAATTTGTTATTGCGCTGCCAGCGTTATCTTTGAGAGGCCTATTGGACCGAAGAGCATCCTTCTAAAGCCCTATTCTTCCCATGCCATGGGAGCAGGTCCCTTCCCACGTCCCCTTGACTAGCCAGGCAAGCTGCTGGGTATATCCAGGGATGACAAGCTTAATCAAGAGCAAGTAAAGCTGCTCCCTGGGCATGTCTTGTCCAGCAGTAAGAAAACGGACCTGAAGCGCACTGGGCAAGTGACTGCGGATGCAGGATGGGGCCAGGAGGAGAGACGTCAGGGAGAGGCAGGCACTGCCCTGCACCCCCAGGCTGGCAGGCTGGATTATCAGCCCCATTTCCAAGTCTTGAAGCTGACGAGACCCAGAAGCTGATTCTTTAGGACAAGCTCTTTCCCCAAAAGTACAAAGCACTCAGACAGGGCTCCCTCCTCACACTTCCCTTTATCTCAGCCCAGGTCCTTCCTCACGGCTGTTGGGCTTCCACCACGTGACACCAGCCCCCCTCCAATCCTTGTCTACCACACACCTGCCTCTGGCTGCTGCTCCTCCCAAGTGGCTTCTCTCCTGCTCTCCAGCGGGTCCTAAGCTTGGCACAGGCTGAGCAGCATTCCAGAGCCCTGTGGGGTCTGCCCGCCAGGACCCAGCTGTCCTCAAACCCCTCTGAGGGGGCGAGTGACCCTTCAAGCGACCAGCAGCCACAGTGCAGGGTAAGCCCCGGGTGTTTTGGGACACACAGCCTAGGGCTGTGACCCACTCCAGCTTCAGTAGGACCCTCTTGGGTGAGGACTATCCTAGTTATCCAGGGCTGCCTTCAGGCTTCCAGGGGGCCCAGGGCTGAACAGCTTCATGGGCTGCACGGTCAGTTGAGAAAATGGGTCATTCCTGGGTTCAGAAACCTTGGGGGGAGACTAGGGGGGCACAATCCTTTGCCTCTTTGTGGCGGCAAAGCGCACTGCACAGGAGAATCAATGCTAGCATCTGTGCAAGGCTGGGACAGATCATTAAGTTTACGACACCTGCAGCCACTGAATGGATGATAGAGAGAAAACTAAACACTGAAAAGCTTGTTCCTTCACTGAATCTCCAAGAGTCCTGTGGGGAAAATAGCATTTAACAGGTAAGCAGAGACACTGCACTGCTGCACGCAAACGGGCAGCACAGCCAGCCTCGTTCTGCTGACTTCTCCCTCAGAGCACATAATTCGGCGAGTCTTGAATACAGAGCTAACGGGCATTACAGACAAAAAGGGCTGAGCTCCTTCATTATGATAATAAAGGCAGCATTGAGGTGCAGCAGGAGGAGGAAACGGAGACCAGAAACAGCTGCAAGTGCTCGGGACGGGCATTGGACACAATCACAGGTTTATCTGAAGGTAACAGTTGAATTCACGGAACCAAAGCTGCTCAGGCAGAGCTGCCTGGGATGCCCAGCATCACCTGCACAGCCTGCAGGGAAAATGCCCCAGGATCTCATTTATTCAAATCAGCCTCCTCTCCAGAAATTCTGCTGTGTCAAAATCCCCTAAACGACGGCAGCTATTTTTGCTCCTGACTGGGAAGGTAGAAGAGAGTATGAAAGAAAGAAATTTTTAAATGCTGTTGCACATGGATGCTCTGGTGATACCTGGAGCTTGCTGGGCTACAAGTGTGAGGACGGCTGCACTGACTCTCATGGTGTCATCTCTGCTGCAGTTGACGCAGCACAGGCGAATTCAAGCCACTGCTGCATTGCACTGTTCCTCCACTAACACTGCTCCCAAAGGCAAAGTGGCAAAAATGCCCCAAGGTGAAATTAGACTAGAGCATGTCCAAAACGTTGTGCCAGAAACAGCCCCAGTGAATGAAACAATATCTTTCTACAACTTTGCCCCAAAGATCAAAGGCTGGTTTCAGTGTCTCAGGATTTCTGCTGGGTTTCTACTTTATTTTCTTTAATCGTGTTCAAATCATGAAAATATGCAAACCTCTTTGGGTAAGCCCATGCCCAAGCTTTTCATTTCTGATCTGCCATATCTCAAATTTTAGGTTTCCCCATTCCTTACATGGGAAACATTACATCCTGTCACTGCTTCGGTTGGAAAGAGACCTTTCCACCTAGTCCAGGAAAGCTTTAACAACACAGCATATTGCACAGCATTGCAGTTTTACACTTAGTGATATAAACCCAACCCTCAAGTTGTAGAGCAGGCAGCAGGCTCCGGACTCAGGTGCAATGCAGCCAGTTGGTAAAGTCTCCATGAACCAGGACAGTGTCCCCAGCTGTCCTAAGATGTAACATGGACCCACAGGGCCCTAGAGCAGCAAGAGGGCCCCAGAGCAGACCAGGATGGGCATTGAAATGCTGGGACTGGCTGTGGGTGACTGTCCCAGAGGAAGGAGCTGACTCAGAAGGAGGACGCTCTTGTGCTTATGGCTTGCTGGAGAACCCACTTCCAGGGTACATTAATAACGGGAGCGATTTGAAACAAAACTTGGTCATGTTGACATAAAGCAGATTAATCTGAGAAGATTCTCAGGAGAAACCAAATCCCTTCAGCATGAGAAGTCATCATAGCACCGGTCGGTCAGGGGGACCGACCTTTTCACTGCAGACTCCTGGGTTTAGCTTAGCTGCGACCGAACACCTTTTTAGACAACAGAGACGAGCAGTTTCAGGGTATGATCTCACTGAGCTACTTTAAACACCTACTTTAGGATCTAGTTAAGGCAGGGCAAGTTATCCACTTTATATTTTTATCCACTTTAAATAGTATTTAGAGTTGCCCTCAAGACACAAGATAGATATTCAGCAAAACTAAAGCAAAACCAGAATCCTGACAACTCCACTCTTTCAAACTTTGCTGGTCTCATCTTTGAGCAGCTCCATGCATCCACTCATAGCTCTGCTAGGGTGACGGGTTTGAAGTACAAGTTACAAATGGAAAAGTGTCTTACTCCTCCTTATTTTTTTTTTTTTTCATATAGTTTCTGAAAGTTGCCTGGAGCCTGCAGTGCAGCTAGGAGCGCCCTGCTGCTGCACTGTCACAAGAGACTGGCATGGTAGCATCCACTGGCTTTATTGGTTAAAACAGTGCCCCAGAGCAATAACCGGAACCACTGGTTCCCCTCCAAGAGATGAGTAAATCGGGAGATGTGGACTCAAACTAGCAAAATGTGCAGTTACGCTCTGAATGCACGTTACCCAGGTGGCTGCACATGCAAAACCCAGAGCTGGAAATGGTTTCATGAGGACAGCGAGAGGGCCACCAGCTGATACTGTTGCCCATTTCCCAATCTTGACTCTAGTGAGTGGGGTCCACGTGACAAAAAGCTACTATCAGCACCAACTCTACAGCTTCTCAGGAGAGACCAGTGGTTATTAATAACCTTTTGCATTCTGTCTTGCTGCTCAAAACAAACATTAACTAATTAATCACTAAAACATTGATCAATTAAAAATTGAACCAATCACCCAGAAAGATCCTGTGGCAAAACCAACCCTTTGGGGGGTTTTCCAGTGGGGGATCTACTTCCTTTCAAATACAGTCTGTTAGCAAACCAACCCTGTATGGCCACCTCTTCCCACATCTCACATTCCTGCTGCGCCTGCATCCCTGCCTTACTAACGATGCAAAATCACTCCCAGCTCATTTGCTCTTCCTCTGGCAGCTTGGAAACATCAACTCCCAGGGCATGCTATGGCAAGGCTAGGGGTAGAAGCGAGCGCAGCAAGCAAATTTTAGTCAGGATGGTGCCATTTCTATGCTAATAAAGGCTATTTCACACCAGAAACCAGAAGCAGCTGATGTAAAGGCTGCATGTGATGGCAGAGCAGCTTCACCCTGCTCCTCCCTCTGAAATCCCTTTTCTCCCTCCAGGAGAAGAGCCCTACTCTCTCTCCAAAGCACTTATCCTGAGACTTCCCACATTTCCACATAGCTGTAATTTGACTGTTCTCAAATCCCTGATTAATTGTAATTACGCTTGAACTGATGATGAAGGATGTCACCATTATGTCACTGGAATTTTGTCAGAACGCGCCTGGAATTTATGGAAGAAAACATCAATCACCCAGCAAAGCAGAGGGGAAGTGGGTTTTTTTTTGTTTTTTTTTTAATCGTTTATTGTTCATGTGGGAAATCTCTGATCATCACAGATCTGGTTTCCAGACCTTTACAGTAAACTCTACAGAGTTTACTTCCCTGAGTTCAAAGACCAGCAAAAGCTGAGCGTTTGAGTATCTGACCAAACAGGGAGACAGGAAGAAAGTTTACACAACTCAACTCTTCCACAGAATCAGAAGCTTGAGGTTGTTTCATCTGAGAGGTTTTTAAAAATACAGGGTTCAGTGCTCCTATAGAAATTTCAGCTCTTTCACTCAAAACTTCATGTGGCTCAGGATCAGAGACATCGGCTCTTGGCAGTCTACCTCAGATTGCCTCTCACAGTGATCTCACCACTATCTCTTACAGAGAGGCCGATTTGCTAGACCTTATTTTTCTAAATTTCCCTGACTGGTCCAGGACAGAAAGATACGTGAGGGCAATACGACACTCGCCTGGGTACATTTCATCAGTCCCCTGCAAAGAGCAAAAAGCATACAACTTATAGACGTTCAGTCCAAAGGCCCTGATAAATGAGCCTCTGTCAAGTTGTCCTACAGGTCTAGGAGAACTGTCTAGGGCGATGAGACGGAGCTCCTGGGCTGGGGAGCCTCTGCCAGCAGAGCCTGGCTGCGCCGTGCAGGCGCAGAGTGACACCGCCAGCGGGGACCCCCCTCCCCACTTTTACTGTGGTTCCCATGGGGGCCAAGAGCAGGGAGGATCCAGCTCCCGCACCAACACCTTGGGATCTCCTCGACCACGTGAAACCCCCAGCAGTGACTGCTGCTGTCGCACCCAGCTGGAGTGCAGACAGACAGA